AGAGAAGAGAGACAGAGACATAGAGAGAAAGAAAGAGACAGACAGACAAAGAAGAGTGATGAGTGAGAGAGAGAGATAAGAGAGACAGAGACACATAGAGAAAGAGAGAGATAGACATACAGAGAAGAGTTATGAGTGAGAGAGAGAAAGAGAAGAGAGACAGAGACAAAGAGATAGAAAGATGAAAAAATGGGTGGAAAGAGATATGCTCTGGTTTAACTTTCAGCTGATGATATCCGGATCTGAGATCAATCTTAGAGAAAACTTGAGCACCCTGTAACTGATCAAATAAATCATCAATACGCGGTAATGGATATTTATTTTTCATAGTTACATTGTTCAGTTCACGGTAGTCGATACAGAGTCTCAGTGAGCCGTCTTTCTTTTTCACAAATAAGGCAGGTGCGCCCTACGGTGAAGTACTAGGCTTGATGAGCTTTTTGTCTAACAGTTCTTGCAGCTGGACTTTCAGTTCTTTCAATTCGATAGGTGCCATTCTGTATGGAGCTTTAGATACTGGTTGTGTACCCGGAATTACATCAACAGTGAACTCAATCTCCCTATCAATCAAATCCCCTGGTAGATTATCTGGAAAAACATCTGGGAATTCTCTGACTATAGGAATACTGTTCACATTAGCATTATCATCAGTAGATATAGTCAATACAGAACATAGATATCCCTTACACCCTTTCTTAATCAATTTACAGGCTTTCATGGATGAAATTAGATACGGGGGAGGTACTACTCCGACCCCATTAAACATAAATTCAGGTAAACCCGGTGGACGGAAAACTACTTATTTCGTTACACAGTCTATGGTAGCATGATATTTCGTTAACTAGTCCATCCCCAATATAACATCAAAATGATCTATGTTCAAAGGCAGTAAGTCAATATACAGATGCATATCCCCAATAATAATTTCACATGCAGGGTACATATAGGCACATGTTACAGATCCCCCAACAGGTGAAGATACGGTTAACAGATAATTCATGGGTTCTAATGGTCTACTCAATTTTCACGAAAAGCATGCGATACATATGAATGTGTAGACCCCGAATCAATCAGAACATATGCATTTTGAGTACAAATAGAGAGAATACCTGACACAACGGTCTCGGTATTCTGTACATCTCCCGATACTAGTGCGAACACTCGGCCTTGCCTCATAGGCTCTTTCCCGGTAGCTTTGGGGTTAGGCTTTAGTGTAGCGGTCGATGCTGCTACGCTAGGTACAGCTTTACTATTGGCCTGCAGAGTAGAGGGGTCGTCTTTAACCATGTGGCCCACCTTGCCACACCTGTAACAAGCTCTAGATATTTTGTAACAAACCCCTTTGTGCTTCTTGCCACACTCAGAACAGGGTGGTATGGAACCACTTCCCTGGTTGGGGCTAATTGTTGACCCCGTATTCTGTTTCTTGTTCAATGGGTTATTTTTGCCTTTCTTGAACTTAAAACCCTTCCTTTTACCACGCCATTTAGACGCTGGTGCTTCAGTTTGTTTCAGTGCTTCGATGTTTGACTCAACCATTAATGCTCGGTCAAGAACATTTACATAGTTCGGTAGCTTTAAAACATTTATTCTGTCCAGTACAAATTTATTATATGTTCAAATTTTATTATATGTTCAATTGTGAAACACCATTGTCCCATATTTAAACAAAATAAAAAGACCAAAACAAATTCACAACTCCATAGACCAAACTTTTTTTGTTGTTCTATCCCTCAAATACAATTCTTGTAAAAAAAAAAAGCAATTCAAAATTGTGAGTGTACAAAAACGATCCCAAATTAGGATTTTGGCTGTTGCTACTCAACATTGTGAGTGTACAAGAATGTTGACAAATAAATGAGGAATTCATAATTGCATAGCGCAACTATAACTGCCCTCTAAAAACTAGAATCGTAAACTACTTTGTCAATATAGTTTATCCAAAACCATAAGGGCATATGGTAAGTTGTCAATTTTGGGAAATCAAAAATAAAATTAAGGAAAGATTTTAGCATTTCAGTTTCCTTCTTCCTTATTTTCATTGAACTTATTTTCTCAGCAACCAAGCATAGTACGTGCTTATAGATCTACTACTTACACGAAATAAGCAACAATTAGCAGTTATTTATCTTCTTCAAGCACAAATACATCACACACACACACACACACACACACACACACACAAAAACCCAAATAGACTTGCAGTCTCCTTTTCTTTCCCTCATTGCATATTTTCTCAGCAACACAATGTCCCAAACACAACATAACATACTTATATGACTAACCTACAAAAACAGTGCTTCTATATCTTCCAATTAAGCTTATGATCAAGAAACATAAATACTGCTTATAAATCTACTAATTAAAGCTAAGAATTAACTACAAAATAGAACTAGAGAAAGAAGACAGCAACATAATCAACAGCAAATGAATCCAACAGAATGTTCTGTATTATGTTGCTACTACAGAAAACACTTACGGTCATGGAGACTTGCCCAAAATCACATTTGGCAACAGAAAGAACTAGCAGATTCATCATATGCTAGGGGGTTACAAGCCCCACTCCAAAAATCAAGCTTGTTCTTTTAAATCACTCAGAAATTTAGTCCAGTTCCTTTTCCTTCCGGTCAAATTTTTTAAAAAATAAAAAAATATACCTCGGGTATGCAGGCCACATCGTCAATTCTTGTGATCAACTAAGCAAAGATCCCCAGAACCTTCAAGAAAATCAGTGGCCCATACTGACATTCCAGAAATGCAAACTACAAGTAAACATTATGAATGTCTTCCATGCTAGTTTTGGAAAACACTAAAGCACAGGATGTTAGAAAAGCAGACTAATTAAGTGCATAAAATTTCTCTGCAATTTCAAGTATTGAGGATAAAACATAGAAAATAAAAACAAAAAGAGTAAAATATATATAACTTAATTGCCCATGTTTGTTTGCAGGAGGTGGTTTATGCAAAGAGAAAACTGACACTTCATAACCAAAGTAAACAAACAGTTATTAATGGTTTGTTAAAAAGTAAACAAACAGTTATTAATACCAAAAATGAGCTAAAATAAGAAGTAAGAAAAAAATTCCCCCTTCATGAAGACTTGCTCAAAATCACAATCAGCAGCATGTATCACAGTCAACAGGAGCCTACCAATTAGCATAAATCTAGCCCATGCTGCCATGCCTATAAAACTCAACTAATAAATAAACTGAAATTCATTTGATAGGTGTAAATTGAAGTTTTATTTACTTATTTATTGCTAGGCCAAAAAGGATGAAAAATAGGACTAAAAGTATGTACACATAGTGAAAATTTTAAAAACTATCCCATAACAAATTAAAATTTAAAATTAACTAACTAAGAACAAAATAGGACTAGTAATGCTAAACTACCAAATATATAAAGGCAAATAATAACATAACATATCTATTCATAGAAACCCATTCTTATGTCATAGATTTGTAACAAAACCAAACCCAAAGCCAAAGAATAAAATTTGAACCACAAAGAAATTCATATTTCAGTCAAAGAATTTTCACAAGCAAAACTTGAAAATTAACAGAAGTTCACAAGAATAAATAAATAAATACTAGCGGTTAAGGCACACGCGATGCGTGTGTAAATTTTTTTAAAAAAATTGCGATTGAGTCAATAAAAATTGAATTAAGGAACACTACTTTCCAATTGATAAAAATTTTAATGCATCCTCATTCAATAATAAAAAATAAATAAAAAGAAAGAAAGAAAGAAGAAGAAGAAGAAGAAGAAGAAGAAGAAGAAGAGTGAAGTTCAATTCACAAATTTCAGATAAATCAAAGAAATTCAACCAAAATGGGGTAGCACATAGTGCTAGAGCCTCTGCACCTTCTAGGGTTCAACTGACCATTCTAAAATAACATGTGCATGGCTCTTGCAATTGTTTGAGTCTTTCTCTATTTCGATTTCCTTTCTATATACATATCTATATCTAAAAGGGAAGGCCAAAATTGAGGTAGATGTCACATTTTTTTTTCCTTTCCAAAATATCTTCATGTAATTGCCCAAATCAAAATGTCCTATAACTAATGAAATCCAAATTCAGATTGAGATCAAACCTTTCGAACATATCATTTATACTAAAAATTAATTTGATTAGATATCGGATTGTCAAATTGTATCTAAAATGGGATGACAGTAGGCCAGACTAGATGCTCTAATTGGTTGGAGACAATCCCATTTCTAAATTTTTTGGATAAGTTCTGATATAAAATTTTAGTATGGATCCTTTAGAGTGATTTTTTTTTTATTGAAGTAATTTTAGAATAAGTGATGTGTTGTGTAACTAAGATTTAATGGCCAGGTACAAAAAATCACTTTTAAGATTTTTAATACTGAATTTCAACTACACATCACATCACTGATACATATGTACATGTCCAATTTATCCCTCTATTAATTTTCTTAAAATAGTATAAATTATGAACAAATTAACTACCGAAAACAAAATTATCCAGAAACTAAACAATTATTAATCAAATCTTAATCAAAGACTTCCTTCAAGATCTTCAATGGAAGAAGTGATTGATCTCCTTGAATCATAACTATGATCAATTCCCTTTTTCTTGAGTCTTGACAAGGTTGGAATCTCTTGATCCAAGTCAAAAACTGCATTTTTCTTCAATTTTCCAGATTCAAGCTGTATTAAATCAGCTTGGATCCTCCTCTCTTGCTCATGCAATTCTTGGATGTAGTCAATTGCATCTTTGATTATGGATGCCTTGTCCATCTAATTCAACATCACCACAACACTTTATCAAAATTAAATTGACTAAACATCAATTTTTCTAATTTGATTTACATTTTAATAGATTCTGTGATTTTCATAACATCTCTTTTTTTAGTTTTCAAATTTTCACAACACTTGATCAAATTATCCATAGCCTCCTGTAGACCACTGTCAAGCCATCTCACATCTTCTTCACCTTCACTTCCCAATGTCATAGAGCAATGAAGAGAAGAGCAGAGAAGAAGAGAATAGAAGAGAAGAGAAGAATACCTTCGAATCGATGATTCGATCGCTGCTCGCCGCCATTGTCGCCGATCGCCGATCGTCGCTAGCCACCACTATCGCCGCTCGTCGTCGCCTCCGTGAGAGAGAGAGAGTGTGTTGTTTCGAAAGTTAGGGCTCCGAAACTTGGGCTCTACAAACCTGAAAGGAAATGAAAAAAAAAGGGGGAAAGACGGGAAAAAAACAGGGGGAAATTGAGGTTTTGTTAGGTTTAGATTTTCGGAATATTTTTAATATTCTTAATATTTAATTTTTTAATTTTTTAAATATTTTTAATGTTTATACAGGCCTAAAAAATTAATTGACAAAAAAATTAATTGACAGAAAATAATTGACATAGAAGTTGTTTGAAAAAAAAAATGATTTGAAAAAAAAATATTCAAAAAAATTACTTTAAAACAATTAATTGAAAAAAAAACATTTTTTTATTTGAGTATTTTAAAAATAGTTTGGTTATGACTATTGATCAAAAATACGGATATCGAGTTATGAGTTGTGTGTTTGATTATCAATTATATGTTGAATTAAGTTTTGAAAACTATTTTGAAAACTCATCACCAAACAAATTTTTTTATTTGACATGTCACATCAAACTTTCAAAACTCAATTCCATATACAATTCAAAACTCAATTCAACACTCTATTAAAAAATCATAACCAAACAAATTTTTTGTAGTAGAGGAAAGGGAGCAACAGTAGTGGTGAAAGTGATGGATAAGAGGTGGTGGTGGTGATGGCGAAGGAGATTAGTGATGAAGTTGTGGTAGTGGTATGGGAGATGGAGTGGCGGCAGTGGATGTGAGGTAATAGTAGTAGTAGAAGTGGTGGTAGTGGAGTGGTGGCAATGGCAGTAGTCATGGTAGTCGTAGAGGTGAAGTGGCAACAGTGGAAGTAGTGGTGGTGGTGGAATGGCGTTTGCAGTAGTGGTGAAGGTGGTAGAGGAGATGGGTGGTGAGAGAGAGATGAATGAGAGATAGATAAAGGAGAGAGAGAGAGAGAGAGAGAGAGAGAGAGAGAGAGTGATGAGCGAGAGAGAGACAAAGTGGTCGCTAAAAGTGCATTTTCTTGTAGTGGATCGATAAATCGAGAGGGAGCTCAGTAAATAGAGAAGACGGGAGGGAGAGAGTGAACAACGCAAACATAGTGGGAGAAGAGAGAGAGAGAGAAAAAGAGAAAGAGAAAGAGATAGAGATAGAAATAGAGAGTGAGAGACAGAAAAGAGACAGAGAGAGAAGAGAGATAGACGAGAGAGACAGAGAGAGAGAGAGAGAAGAGAGATGAATGAGAGAGACAATGAGAAAGATAGAGAGACAGAGAAAAAGATAGAGAGATGAGCGAGAGAGACAGAGAAAGATGAGAGATGAGAGAGATTGAGAGAAGAGAGATAGGCGAGAGAGATAAAGAGAAGAGAGATGAACGAAAGAGACAGCGAGAGAAAAGAGATGAGAGAAGAGATAGATATGTGAGAGACACAGAGAGAGAGAGAGAGAAATAGACAGACAAATAGAGAGAGAAGAGTGATGAGTAAGAGAGAGAGAGAGAAAGAGAAGAGAGAGATGGAGATGAAAAAATGGATGAAAAGTTATAGAGAGAGAGAGAGAGAAGAGCGAAAAGAGATAAACTAGAGAGAGACAGAGAGAGATAGGCGAGAGAGATAAAGAGAAGAGAGACGGGGGAGATAAAGAGAAGAGAGATGGACGAGAGACACAGAGAGAAAGAGAGACCGACAGACAGACAAAGAAGAGTGATGAGTGAGAGAGAGAAAGAGAAGAGAGACAGAGACATAGAGAGACAAAGAAGAGTGATGAGTGCAAGAGAGAGAGAGAAGAGAGATAGAAAGATGAAAAAATGAGTGAAAAGAGAAATGTTCAAAAGAGTAAGACGACGTCGTTTTTATTTTTTTTTGCAACAGAAAAATACCGTTGCATTTATTTAAACAATTTTATGACTATATATATATGAAGCTGTCTCAAAGCCACAATATATATATATATATTTTATTTTTTATTTTTTATTTTTTTGCAACGGTACGTATTACAATCACAAAAATCTCTTTTTTTTTTTTTTGCGATTGCAGCTGGTACCGTCGCAAAAACTCTATTTTTTTTTTTTGCGACAGCAATCTCTGCCATCGCAAATACTCTATTTTTTTACGACAGCAATTTCTGCCGTCACAAATACTCTATTTTTTGCGACGACAAATTGTCCCGTCTTAAAAAGTCACATTTTTTGGCGACAGCAAGTTATGCCGTCTCAAAAGTCACATTTTTTGTTTGAGACGGCAAGTTGTGCCGTCGCAAAAAGTTCCGTCTCATAAGCCCACTTTTCTTGTAGTGAATCGTAGATAAAATTTTTCAACACATTTTTTATTAAAATTTAGTCAAATTATTTATATGTATGTCTATGTGTATATAAATATTTTAAAATGTATATTGTTTGTATATTACCCTTTTTATTGTATTTAGTAAATAAATCTAAAATAGAGATATGTGGTTAGTGGTTTTGAGTTGGTTATGATCAAAGTTAGGGGTTATGGGTGAAAATGATGTTAGTTATAAGATGTGGTTATGAGATATGTGATGGTGGTTATGATCAAAATGGTATGGTTACGAGCCAAAAGGTATTGGTTATGAGATGTGGTTATGAGATATGTGATTAGTGGTTATGAGTAAAGTAGTGTGGTTATGAGCCAAAGAATGTTGGTTATGAGATATGTGATCAGTGGTTATGAGTAAAGTGGTGTGGTTATGAGCCAAAGAATGTTGGTTATGAGATATGTGATTAGTGGTTATGAGTAAAGTGGTGTGGTTATGAGCCAAAGAGTATTGATTATGAGATATATGACTAATGGTTATGAGATATGTGATGTTAATTATGATCAAAGTGGTGTGACTATGAGCTAAAGGGTGTTATGAGATATGTGATTAGTAGTTATGATATATGTGATGTTAGTTATGAGCCAAAGAGTGTTGGTTATGAGATATGTTATAGCGACCCCGGTCTTTTCCCATTTGATTATTGTATCCGGACTTAGGTTTCGTAGATTCTGTCATTGGAGAATTGTTGTTGTTGTCCCTTATTTTTTTGTCTACGGCGATAAGTTTGAACATCCTCCTTTAATCTTGCAATCTCAGTTACCATTTCCTCTAATAAGCTTGCAACCTTGTCTACCAACTTCGGCAACACTTGTCTACCATGAGGACAAGTGGGTGGATCATACCAATAGAAGAAGCCATAAGCCCCGTTTTTCTGGAGAAAAAAATAAAAAAAAAATTAAATTAAATAAATAAAGTACATAAATTACAAATTTTATATTATTCACAGGACTAGGAAAACTTACTCCATAATTTGGACAACCAAGAAACCTCTTAGATGGGTTCGCATGGGTCCATGAAGTTTGGATTCTAGCTCTCATTCCACAGCTGCAACGAGTCGATTCACCCCAATTGTTTCCACCCCAGCTGTTTCCTTCACTCATATTTCGTAATGGCTGAAATGGAGCTTTGTTCAGCAGTGGATTCGTCGTTCGTATTGCCCTAAATCAATGAGATCAAAGAAAGTGAGGGAAATTGGGGCAAATTGTAGCCCTAATTGGTGAAATTCAGGATTTGGAGACTTTTATATGGGTCCAACAAGGAACGACGTCGTTTTGGGTTGGTTTAAGCGCCAAAAATGGCTTTCTCCGTTACTTTAGGAAACGGAGATGGACGGGGGGCTTACATTGTGACACGGAATGAATTACGGGGTTCACATTGTCAAAATTAAAAACCTGGGGTTTAATTTGAAAAACACACTAAACCTTGGGATTTTATTTGTAATTTGCCCCCTTTTTTTTTATTAATTTTAAATTTAATAAAAGAAGAGATAAGGATGGGAGATGATCTGACCTCGACCCGTCTTCCTTGTGATAAAGCCCAAACTGGATACAGCCGGCATCCTTAGTCATTGCTTTTATTACTTCCATGGCTGCTGTGATTTGGTGATGGTGGAACAAGGGTTTTTGGTGAAAGGTTTCTCTCTCATGTTCATCTTTTGTTTCTTCAAAGCGAAATCATGGAAGCTGAGTTGTTCGAAGACTGCTGGGAATTGATTCTGAATCGATTAGCAGCCGATGACATCAACTTATTGCAATCCCCTTGTTTGGTCTCTAGGCAATTTCTCTCCATCACCAATTGACTTCGACATAAATTGGTGGCCTCCAACAGATTTTTCTACAGCAATAACTGTGAGGCTTTATTCAGAGCCCTTCAACGATTCATGAACCTCCACGAGATTGAGCTCCATAATCCTATCTTCAGTGACAATGCCGACGTCAATTACCCCATTCGAAGAATCACTTCTTCCGGGTTGGATCTCCATTCCCTCTCTCTTGAATTTTTACAAAAACCTCCATTACCTAAAACTTTTATGAAATTGGGTTTGACCATGAAGAACTTGAAGATTTTAAGATGTCCTCTGGCCAAGTGTTTTCGAAATCACCACCTTGTTGCCATAGCTGATGCTTTACCATGGCTTGAAGAGCTCGGTATCCAATTTTCCGGCAACAATTTTGATTCTAAAAGCGCAAAGTACATGGTAACTGATGCTGGAATTGAGGTTATGTCTCGTAAGCTCCGACGGTTGCGTAAAATTGATATAACCGGGCAGGTTGGTTGTTCTGATCGATCTCTCATTGCTTTGTCATCAAATTGTGAGCTTTTGCTTGAAATTCAATGTGCTTGTTGCAGAATAACTGAACATGGCGTTTGTTTTGTACTACGCCATAGTCGAAACTTGATTTCTCTAGATGCTGGACCCTATTCCAGTTTACAAAATTGATTCCTTCACTTTTGAGAATTCCATGACTTATGCAACATCTTTACGTGATCTTGTGTTAGAACCATATGGAGATCATGACCGAATTCTTTCTTCCATTTCAACAGTAGGCATTCCATTAGAGAAGATTTTAATATACGAAGATTCTGGTTTGAGCTTACATGGACTCACGACTTTCTTGTGTGCATGTCCATCTTTGACACACTTGACACTTCATGACATAGACTTTCTCAATGACGATTCCATGAGGGATTTATGCCAATATCTTTCTAGTCTTGTGTACATAAAGCTTTCGTGTTCAACCTTAACCGCCACAACCTTCTTC